GAAAATTAATTTATCCATTATTTTTGAGATCATCCTAATGTATTTTTATATTGTTAGTTAAAACAGATATTAAGAACAAAACTGCAAAGAGTGAGGACTTTAAAAAGAGACATCTATTGGGCAAAAATGTGTTCTTAATTTTACACTCAACTGATTTAGGTTAAAAAACAAATGATAAAACTATTTTAAACTTGTATGCCAAGGTACTGATTACACATAAAATCTGGTAAAGAACTTTGTTTTAAGATTGTGTGCCAAGATGTTGATAACACATCAAATCTGGTGAAGAACTCCGTTTTAAAATTTGGGTGCTGAGATACTGATCACTCATCAAATCTGGTGAAGAACTCTGCTTAAACTTGGGTGCTGAGATACTGATCACACATCAAATCTGGTGAAGAATTCTGTTTAAACTTGGATGCCGAGATACTGATCACACATCAAATCTGGTGAAGAATTCTGTTTAAACTTGGGTGCCGAGATACTGATCACACATCAAATCTGGTGAAGAATTCTGTTTAAACTTGGGTGCCGAGATACTGATCACACATAAAATCTGGTAAAGAACTTTGTTTTAAGATTGTGTGCCAAGATGTTGATAACACATCAAATCTGGTGAAGAACTCTGTTTTAAAATTGGGTGCTGAGATACTGATCACTCGTCAAATCTGGTGAAGAACTCTGCTTAAACTTGGGTGCTGAGATACTGATCACACATAAAACCTGGTAAAGAACTCTGTTAAACTTGGGTGCTGAGATACTGATCACACATAAAATCTGGTAAAGAACTCTGTTTTAAAATTGTGTGCCGAGATACTGATCACTCGTCAAATCTGGTGAAGAATTCTGTTTAAACTTGGGTGCTGAGATACTGATCACACATAAAATCTGGTGTAGAATTCTGTTTAAATTTGGGTGCCGAGATACTGATCACACATAAAATCTGGGGAAGAACTTAAATCTGTCTGCTTTAAAAGGTGGCATTTTATATAAATCAACTGAAATAAAAACTTATAACTTTTATTGTATTCAGTAACATAAAAAAATTACCCACAAATATTGTATAATATATAATAACACTAAATCTTTACCAAACACTGTTACTCTAAGCTGCTTAATGGGTCCATTTTAGATGTGAGCTCTATATTTAACACAATTCATCAATATTGTTTTTCCCTCAAGAATGAAGTTATTACCACAAGTCGACAAATAAGCTTTATTTGATTATTTTTAAGCAATTAATAAATAAATACCACAGGAAAAGCTTATATCTAAATTTAATGTTTAAATACTATACAAACTTAACTCACTGTCTTTCGTATTAACCACATTTGTTGAGTTTTTTACCATTTTCAACGTATTCATTTGACACGTCTGCAAATTGCAGAGCTCTAGCAAGAAGAATAATCTATAAAGGTTATAATTCTAAATTATGAAGAGTGTTGAATAGCTGGATTAAAAAAATTATAGACCTTTTAGAATATTTTATACAGCTAACATCATGGCTAGTAGATGATGAAAAATGCATGTAATAAAAATTTCTCTGGCAATGAATGTTAACCGCAAGTTCAACAGAAAAAAAGATAGAAAGTATATTATTCTTTCTTTCAATATTTAGATCAAACAGCCGGCTTAAATTTAACGAACAAAGGAGAAGAAATCTCTCCAGTAATTATCTAACGGCATTTCCTTTGTGTTCGAACAACGGTCTGTGAAATTGACCTCTGTAAAGCAATTCATATCTTCCCCTTGAAACGAAAGCTTAAATTAAATTATTTGGTATCAACGTTGCTTCTAAATAGCAAACACACACTGAGGTCAAGCACTCAACTTTGGCATTGTTATAAACAGGTTAAGGACTGCAAATTCCTTGTGACCTTTATTATCGCAAGTTTCTTGGGTAACTCATCAAGAGATCCAGCGAAGAAAACAATGAATTACAAGCTGAATTAATAAAACTGAGGCAACAATAGTCAAATCACTTCTTTGAGCTAGTTGTTGTTGAATTCTGCAGTACTGTGCCATGACAATTTCCAGGTCACGTTGGATGGCCTGTAAGGTTTGATTAGATCCTTTCTGTAAGTGTTTAATTGGTTCCAGTGACTCTTGTAGCATTGCCAGAGTGATAGTTGACTTAAAAGCCCTTTGTACACTATCCAAAGGGGCCACTGTAAGTAAACAAACATACTATCTTATGGATAAGCAATTCAGAAAACACACCTGGATTTTACATTCAATTTAATAATTCTGAGGAAAAGAACAGTAAGTTAAGAAGGTTTTTTTTTTGCCGTAAGAGAGGTACAAAATAAATTTGGTTGAAATATATTATTAAAAAGGTATTTAAATTATTACTGCTTCATTAACAATATCTCATTTTAAGCTACATTAAATATTCTATAGACAATAGATTTCAGTATTAACAGAAATCAGAAGTAATATGATACAAATCAGTCTAAAAGTAAACTTCCTTGGACATTAAATATTCTATCCGAGTTTGACTGTATGAATAATTTAATTTTATATACACTACAGACACTGAAATCTATTCACTAAATCCTGGAAATTTTGTAAAAGTTAATGTGATATATGTAAAAAAAATGCTGTCTCAGTATGGTTTCAGGAGTAAGGAATTAATATTTATATATCCCATTCTTTATTTTTTTTAAAAACCTGGTGATTTAACAATTGAATGCACCATTATGATATCATGTGTTTTCTACCCATTTTAGTCCTGTAAGAATTTAAAAAAAATATTGTAGTTATTTACTCTGTTTGCAGTTTTAGCATAAATACGTGGTCCAGAAAGTCATTGAGATTGCCTTTTTCTAGTTGTTTTGTTTCATTGTTCTCCGTAGCTAATTACACTCCAGTAGAAGCGACTGCCTTTTTGTTTATGCAAGTGCATACTGTGCATTTTCTATTTGTTTTTTCATAATAAAGATTGTGTTCATTTTGTTAAACTTCTTCGGTGTTGTTACACACACACATTAGGAAAACTTAGTCAAATTATCAGGTTCGGGTTACTTTCCTTATTTCCTGAACAAATGTGCTGTTTTTAGTATGTCTGTCTAAAACGTATTGGGAAATCAGTTTCTGCCTGAAAATACCACATTGAATTCCAAAAACTTGACAAGACAATTTTATGTTATCTAATATCTGAAAATTTCTTTAAAACATTTCATGCTGTAATGTTGCCCAGACAATATCAACTAAAAGAAGAGGTCACTTTGGCATTCCACTTTGACGTCTGATCTTTATAAGCCTAGCCCTTCTTTTAATGAACAAAAAGCTTCTTAAAGATATTGGTAGGATGCACATCTTTAATGCCAAGTTTGAGCTAGAAGAAAGATATTCATTACTGTGTTTTAACTTTGGAAACATCTTTTAACAACAACAAAACCTTTTGATTACACTTTAAAATGATTCAAATAAATCCAAAAAGTTAATTACAATTTTTTAATATAGACAGAGAGTAAGAAAATCATTCAGTTTATAACCAAGCTGAAAAACTGGAACGTACAAGATTTCTAAACAATTTTAAACAATTTTTTATTCTTCTAGAACTTGATATAAATTATTTCAGAATGACTTCATATACTTAATGTCACAACAATGAAATATGCACCATTTTCAAGGAGGGAAGAAGAAGAATGAAGTAAGGTGACAGGTGAAGAGAGTTTGAAATGTCTCCCAAGGGACTGGACAAAGTCCACACGTGTAGTCAGAGTGACAGATGGGAGAGAGAAGAGTAAGATAGAAGGAGTATGGAGCATGATAGAGATACAGAAGGTTCAATTGAAGAAATCACAGCTGAGCTGGCCAGTACAGATTTATCAGAAGGACTCAACCCGGAGTGTCCTTAATGAGGGAAATCACATGAATAGGGGGGTAGGCACAGAGAGAAAGGATGGACCAGTCCTGGATGAATGCATTCACAACTAAAGCTGAGGGATGAGGAATAGGGAACAAGAAAAGGGGAAGAATGGTGTTGAGATGAGTGGCAAAAGTAGTAGTGCCCAGATAAAAGCACAGCCAATAGAACACTAGAGGATTGAAGGACCACTCTGTAGGTAGTACCTTGTCAGGCCTCAAGAGAAGATCTGTGACAAGATTCAGGGCTCCCGGGAATATAACAAGCCATTAGCCATACTTGTAAAGGATGGGCCCAGAAAAGTAGGTCAAGAGTGGAAACAGAGAGAGCAAGACTGAGTTTTACCCTGGTGATTGATATAGGAGACAACTGTACAATTTACTGAATGTATCATCATAAAAAAAATGATCCAAAGCTTGATATCTCCAAAGGTTCTAAGAGATAGATATGAAAGGATGATTTGTTGTGAGACCACTAACCCAAATTCACATGAGAGTCGAAGCAGGCGAAAGGAAGGAAGAGGTACACCCTGTATAATATTGGTTGTATCGAGGCACCAGGTGAAGTCTTCGAGTAAGGAAGGATAATGGTGTAGAACAAGGGATCCCATATGAGGATCTAGTGACCATGCAGAGTCCATTGTAGATGCCACAAATTAGCATTACCCAAGAGGATCCCGGATTCCATGGAAGCCCAAGTTCCCAAAAAAGAGAGAGAACCTCCCATACAGTGAGAGTAGGAGAGGATAGAACATGGGAAACTAATCACTTCATGTCTCTCAAAATAAGAGAAGAAGACTGGGCCTTGTGGAGATGTGAACTGAAAATGAAGGAATGAGATACAAAGTGGGTGTAAGATGTGACCTCTCTAGATTGACCAACCTACCCAGATGTGTCACCTCCTGAAGGAGGAGAAGATTATAGTTGTTGCAGGCTAGTTGGGACACAGTCAAATGAGAAAATAGGTATCTGAGACATCTACCCCATGACCTGGGGCAAAAGACCACTGTAGGGTGAGAAAATTCCCTCAGTTACCCCATGACCTGGGGCAAAAGACCACTGTAGGGTGAGGAAATTCTCCATAGTAAATTGTGGGATGTCGAGAAACTGACTGAGACGTAAAACATCTATGACGGGATGCCTTGGAAATAAAATCCTGGAGAAGGATAAGAAACTGTCCAACAGTGTCTTTAGCCATTAGGTCGAATATGGCCATGAACCAACACTGGCAAGAACCAAGATCAGTACCAAACAACTGGCTGCAAATGGAGGGCAAAGGTCCATAAACTGAACTAAATGGGCCTTATTGGCACAGAAGTCTATGAGCAGTGGGAGGATGGATGGGAAGTGGGGATAAGAAGAGAAGACAAAGCAGAAAGATGGAAGCCAGAGAGAGAGGCAAAGAAGAAGCACATGAGAGACAAAAAATCATTGAGGATAAGGAAGAAAAATGACATGCAGCCCCAACACATGATTCCAGAGAAACAAGCACTTCAGTAAAATCACAGATGAAAGCATACGAGGTAAAAGGAAGGTAAAAGCTCTCGAGTAACATGGCGTTACACCCCAACAAACTAGCAACAGATCAACCAAATATGAATCAATAAGACTGAGAAAAATAAACACGTCACTGTAGAAAAGATAAGTAAACAAGCATCCACTGAAAACCCTTCAGCAAAACACTGGATTGTCGCTAAAATAAGGTGAGTGGAGGGAAAAATAACGTAAAAAGGTAGAGAGTGTAAGACGAAGGTGGAAGACTTAAGCCGAAGAAAGATGAACAAAAGACAGAGGATCTGAACCCCAAGACTATTACCTTTAAGACTCCAGAGATTAGGAGCCAAAGAAAGGTAACAGAATGCAAAGTTATGTCTAGTCACATGAGGTAACAAAAAATAAGGAGGATGAGGCATGTATGCAATAAATTTGTGGTAAAAGTAATCGAATATGGACTTGCATATCTGGAGAGGAAGTAAAAACATAAAAGTAAGAAACAGGGAATGAATTACAAACTGAAGGAAGAAACATACCTGAGAAACCCAGTCCCGAAATTATGAAAAAGGCCTACATAGATTCAAGACAGCATGGATATAAGATTAGGCAAATACTTTAAAATACTTTTAATTTATATCGTGTAAAAAAATAATACACGAACTGTTCAGATCCTGTACATTTTTACCATACAGCTTAACACATTATCACCTTTAAATTTATAGGTGGGAGAAGAAAACAGAAACTAACCATCGCTCTCAGTAGAATCACTACCTTGAACAACTTCTCCATCAAGAGATGAGCTCTCAGTTCCTCGTGATGTCAACCGTCTCCTATGGTGGCTACCTTTCTGCATAAGACGGGCAGAGTTATGAACAGAGAGTAGATGTTCTACAGATAGCTTCTCTCCTTTAGATGGATTGTCAATATCAACTGGTGTTTTGTGACGTGTCTTAGTCTGAATAATAAAATCCTGTTCATACTGAACTACGTCGTTCCTTAGATCCCACGGCCTTAAGCTTAAAAAAAAAATAACAGAGAAGCAGTTATTATTCTCGTGGGTCACAATAAAGAAAGCATTAGCTTAGTAACATTTTTGGAAATTCCAGTCATTTTATGTTGTTACTGCTACATTATACTTACCAAATATGAATTTATGTTGTCACATTATACTTACCAAATATGAATTCATTTTGCGTTTTAGAGTATTTTAGGTAAGTGGGAGAATGTGCTTTAAAATGACAAAATACTTATCGAAAAAATTGCTTCCACATGCGAGCATGATAAAAACTAATTGTGAACTAATATCCCTATAGACTGTTAATTCTAAATAACAACATAACAAAACCATAAATAGTTAGCCATAGAGTTCTGTTGTTCCAAAGTTGGAGCCAAGTAAAGGCAGCCAGAGTTGCAGCACCTATGGAACAGAGACTGCCGAAGCCAACACGGATCTGGTGCTGAACCATTGGAGCCTCTCTAGAGCTAAAAGCTAGGATAACCATAGTTGCCAAGCCTACTGTAAACCATGAAAATTATTCTCTTGTGTATTCTTATTCTGTGCTTTCATTTTATATCTAATTAGTTCAGAAATTTGAAAGATAAATGTCCAAAACAATGCGAGTTTCATATTTTACACAAATATCTTTTTAAACTTTTGACAGCCTAATCAACTTGTGATTATGTTACAAACACTAAAAGCAAAAACAGACTATATTCTATTAAAACATAAAACCAATTGGTCTAATTTAATGCAATTTGGCATGCTTGTGATGAAATAATCTCAAAGTCAATAGTTCTTGATGGTCACACAGGAAATAAATATATAACATACGTGTAGTATTAAAACATTCTCTACATATCATCTAGAAGTATTAACTAGCCACGTTTTTAGTTGTTGCATGAATTTTCTAGTCCTCGAAAGTAGATTTAAAATGGAAAACAAATAACTAAATACTGGTGAAGTGGAACAATGAAAAAAATATATTTTCTTTGCTAAATTCAATATGTATATGAAAGTAACAAGTGTCTTATGTCACTTTCTCTTTAAATATTATTAACTCACTCGGCATATTTATAAATCCACTCTCCTGTGATTACGTCTTTAAAGAAATTGCGTGGACACCATTTTTCCATCTTTATTTGTTTTTCTTTTGCAGCCTGCCGTTGAGCCTTTTCAAGTACGGTCTTCTCTTCGGTTGCTGCCATTTGGTCACCCTGAGCAATAGCTTCAGATACTTTATGCCATAACCTGAAAAAACAACTGCTAAGTAAAACTGAATGTGTGATTATGATAAATGTAACAAAGGAATACGAGAACATTAAATGGTATCACTTAACCTTGAGTTTCTCAATATATCAATCACATTGCATAATATTAATAGAATTATGAAATCCATTTTAGTTCTTTTCAACTCGTATCACACTTTTTTTTTTATTCCTGTAAACTCCCAGTGGAGCATAGGGCCGCAAAAAAACATCTCGCCAATGGAAGGTGTTGTTGCAATTACTAATAGCAGGTTGGTTTTTACGGGGTGGAGTTGCTAGCCCCGTGCCCAACCCTCCCCCTTTCTCATCCTGGACTTGGGACCAGGCAAAGGCGGAGGTTGGCATGTTTGGTGCGATGGGGGTTCGAACCCGCGACCCTCAGATTACGAGTCGAGCGCCCTAACCACCTGGCCATGCCGGGCCTCGTATCATACTAATAGCTACTAATTTCACCCTTCCATAAGTAGTTTAGAATATATCTGTATTCATGTATGTTTAGATAATTTTTCTAAATTTCCATGCAGGTATTCTGCATGTTGCTATTACACTTTTGCCAACTGGATATCGAAAGGTTAAAAACAGGATAATCCAGTTACTTAGGTAACGATTACATGTAGCAACAGTTTGAATCTTGTATCAAGTTGGCCTTGTGTCACTGTCCACTCCCTGGAGAAAGAAAGTCCATCTCAAAGGTTGATACAAACTGATACGAGTTGAAGGTTTTTCACCTTTTACACGTTATTTAGAAACGTTTGTGACACATGTGGCTTTAGATTGTTGGATACAGTACTTTGATTCTTCACTTGATTTGAAAGTGCAGTATCTCATAATTCTTTCTGTCCTTGTCTGGAGCAGAAATATTTCGAAATGTTTTCTTTTCTAGCCAAATAGTGAGTGAAATCACAATAGAAGTTAAGAGGCCAACACTGTAAGGCAAAGAACTGTTTGAAGTTTAGTATTTGTCCTACATTAACAGCCCTACTTTTATGGTAGAGATATTACAATTCGAGTGGACTGTGTTTCCTGAAGTTGATGACGAAGCTAAGAAATCTGGTAGATACGATCGGATATTGCATAACAATGATGAGCACAAAGAAATAAAACCCAGGTCAGCAGTACTGAAATTCTGACAGACTATTTTGCCAGATCATGAGATCCTGTTCATTCATTGAATATGTATAGTGGGTCATATCATTGTAGGGCAGTGATGGTGAACCATATTTGGGAAAAGCAACTGAAGGACTAAAACTTAGCTCTGGTGTTATTTTCCACACAGCAAGGTAGCACAAAACCTGCCACTTGTACAGTCAATTACAAACAGATGAATGAGCAGATTGATTCTGATGATCTGTTTCATTTGATCTCATTTCAGGTGATAAAGAGTAAGACACTTGTAGTACAAATCTGGCTGTTTATGAGTAGTCAGATGAAGAAATGCCAGTGGAGGAGTAGTTTATAAGCTCTGATGATCAACCGAAATGCTTACGTACTAATTTTTATGCCTGAAGTTTTAACTGTTTTACCAATAGTTTGGACGTGAGTTAGTCAGTAGACTGGCCACTGAAAGGATGTTGCAACCCATATTTTCCAAGCCATGAAGCAGTGTTTCACAAGATGATGTACATGTGATAACCAGTTGATTATTTTACATAGTTACAACATCCGTTTTGTTGAAAGATCTACTGAGAGATATTTGGGCAAGACATTTTGCAATAATAAACCACTCAAACTTTCTAGCCAAGTTATAGATGAAATTCTGAAGAGCAGACTCCAAGAAATTCACAAGATACATAGCTAAGATAGATGAAATTGTTAGATAAAATTCTGTGAAAATTAACAGGTCGAGTCAACTGTTAATGACTAAGATAAACCGACGTACTGAAAGAAGTTTGCAATTCTTGATTTCTGAGCACTACGATATTTGTTGGTATAAACTTCTTGAGTGAACCCTTGATCTTGCATGTATGTTGTGTTGCTGTACATTATTGTGTTTGATGGTCTGATTGGACTATGAAACGCACTAGGAGAATTGTGTTACAACACAGCATGAAAAATGAACATAGATTACATAAATCAAGCAAAATGTTTATCATCATGTTATTTTTCATGTTTATATGATATAGTGAGTTTCTCATGACCCCAAGATGACAATACAAATAGGACAAACTTGGTAATTTGGGATGATTGCATATTTTGCAGTTGATTACATGAAATGTGGTCAGGATGGATGTTTGTTGAAGAAGAGGTTATTTTTGTTTATTTCTGTATATGATTACCTTCATTTTTGTGAGATTGTTTGAGTTGGAATAAACAACTCTTTAGGTGACATCTTAGGTATATGTGGAAAGTGTGACCAGTGCTGTTGTTGGTTGCTGAGGTTTGTTTGTCTGTTTTGAATTTTGTGCAAAGCTACATGAGGGCTATCTGCACTAGCTGTCCCTAATTTAGCAGTGTAAGACTAAAGGGAAGACAGCTAGTCATCACCGCCCACTGCAAACTCTTGGGCTACCCTTTTACCAACAAGTAGCGGGATTGCTCATCACATTATAACACCCCCACGACTGAAAGGGGCAAGTATGTTTGGTGGGACGGGGAATCGAACCCGCTACCATCAAATTGCAAGTGGGGCCACCTGGCCATGCCAGGCCTGGTTGCTGAGGTAATCAGGTTAGTTGGTGAATGGTGATGTCATGTAATCAGGGTAGTTTGTGAATGGTGATGTCATGTAACCAGGTTAGTTTGTGAATGGTGATGTCATGTAACCAGGTTAGTTTGTGAATGGTGATGTCGTGTAATCAGGTTAGTTGTTGAATGGTGACGTCATGTAATCAGGTTAGTTTGTGAATGGTGATGTCATGTAATCAGGTTAGTTGGTGAATGGTGACTGGTGATGTCGTGTAATCAGGTTAGTTTGTGAATGGTGACGTCATGTAATCAGGTTAGTTGTTGAATGGTGACGTCATGTAATCAGGTTAGTTTGTGAATGGTGATGTCATGTAATCAGGTTAGTTGGTGAATGGTGATATCATGTAATCAGGTTAGTTGGTGAATGGTGATGCCATGTAATCAGGTTAGTTTGTGAATGGTGATGTCGTGTAATCAGGTTAGTTGTTGAATGGTGATGTCATGTAATCAGGTTAGTTGGTGAATGGTGACATCATGTAATCAGGTTAGTTTGTGAATGGTGATGTCATGTAATCAGGTTAGTTGGTGAATGGTGATGTCATGTAATCAGATTAGTTGTTGAATAGTGATGTCATGTAATGAGGTTAGTTTGTGAATGGTGACGTAATGTAATCAGGTTAGTTGGTGGATGGTGATGTCATGTAATCAGGTTAGTTGGTGAATGGTGACGTCGTGTAATCAGGTTAGTTTGTGAATGGTGATGTCATGTAATCAGGTTAGGTTGTGAATGGTGATGTCGTGTAATCAGGTTAG